CCCTGCTAAAAAGTCTGCCGCCATCTTTTTTATAAGCCCCCTTTAAGTACTGATAGGCTGCAAGAAGGTCTCCCCAAAGCCTTCTCTTCTCCAGGCTGAACAACCTCAACTCTCTCAGCCTGTCTTCATAGAAGAGGTGCTCCATCCCCCGATCATTTTCGTGGCCCTCTTCTGGACCCGCTCCAACAGGCCCATGTCTTTCTTATGCTGAGAGCTCCAGAGCTGGACACACTACTCCAGGTGGGGTCTCACCAGAGCAGAGCAGAGGGGCAGAATCCCCTCCCTCGACCTGCTGGCCACGCTGCTTTGGATGCAGCCCAGGATACGATTGGCCTTCTGGGCTGCGAGCGCACATTGCTGGCTCACGTCCAGCTTTTCATCCACCAGTACCCCAGGTCCTTCTTGGCAGGGCTGCTCTCAAGCCCTTCATCCCCCAGCCTGTATTGATATCGGGGGTTGCCCTGACCCCGGGGCTGGACCTTGCACTTGACCTTGTTAAACCTCATGAGGTTCACACAGGCCCACTTCTGGAGCTTGTCTGTGATTCTATGATTCTATATGGACCACCTATGAAGAGTTTGTCAAGAAGACAGAGCCAAGCTGTTCGCCATGGTGCAAGGATGAGAGACAGCAGGCATAAGTTGAAACAAGAAAGGTGGATGTAAGGAGAAACCTTTTCATCATAAGGGCAGTCAAACAGTGGAATAGGTTGCCCAGAGAGGTTGTGCTCTCTCCATCCTTGAAGGTTTTCAAAACTAGACTGGAGAAAGCCCTGGGTAACCTGGTCTGATCTCGCAGCTGAATGCTGCGAGCAGGAGGTTGGACAAGAGACCTCCTGGCCCCCCTTCCAATATGAATTATCCTGTGATTCCATGTAGTTGCTGCTCACCTGTTGTGGAAATCTCAGCCAGCACACAGTGTGGTCCCAAAACCAGGGCTTCTGTGCAGAGAGAAGGCAGCAGTAAGAACCCATAGCCTTTTAATGACACATAATGACCATGTGAAGAAGTACTTCAAGAAGTCAGCGTAGCCATGCTAGACCCAATCTGCCTTTGAGCTTTGGAAAAAGTGGTTGGCAAAATGCATTTGTCATTAGTAAATGCACAGGATGTCACACAGAGTGTCTCAACACAGGCAGCAGTGACAGCCGGGACAGGGTCTGCTCTTGGCTGAGACACAAGGGCTGTGTGTGGGTATAAGTGGGGAATCACTTACACAATGATCTAAGACAAGAAAAAAAACCGTGGTAACATCACTGACACCTAGCCAGGTCCAGCCAGGGAAAGGCGGACTGTTCTACTGGATCAGGATTGGGGATGGTTCTGCTTTATGCCCCTGAATTTCTCCTTCTTTGGCTTTGGACCCATAGTCATGGCCACACATGATCTTTGGATGGGCTTTAAAATGGCCCAGGACCATTAGCCTCATTTGCCATGAATGAGGAACCCCGGAAAGGTGTGACTCCACAGCATCACCCTGCTCATGTACTTACATCATACAGGAGAGCCAGCCCAGAGAAGAATGAGGTGAAATAGAATGTAAATCTCCAGCTAAAACAGAAAAAAGAAGGAATTAAGACTTCCTCCAGAGTTGGAATAGCTCCCCAGGCTGTGCCCAGGACACTGCAAAGCCTACAGGAGAACCTATGCTTGTTTGGACAGGGATTTGCAGAACCTCAGCTCTGTTCGCACATACATGCATGTGCTGTTAAGGCAACAGGGTATCCACAGCCCACACAGGCTCTGCTGTGGTCCATGCTGTGCCCAAATTCCTGGCGTACTCCATCAGCATTAAACAGGATGCAGCACGACTACCAAGATGCCTCTACCTGTCTCTTTTTGTTATGTGGGTATTTGTAGATCACCTATGCAAATGCTTATATACCACAGCCTGTGGAAGGCACCTAATTTTTCCTAGTGATGGCACAGGAATACTCAAGGTTTTATTAGTTTCCTCAGAAATGCTGCAGTGTGGAGCACTGAACAAGCTTTCAGGAGGAGAATATTTTTTAAAAAGCATAATAACAAGATTCAAGAACTGAATAATATATTTTTCAGAGAGGGAGGGAGAGTAGATCTCATACCTGATGGGGGTCTTTGCATACATACAGCATTAAACCTCAAGCTGAGAACTAGAGGTAACCTGATTCTTTTGATCGAGACACTTGGTGACTTCTCTCTCCATTCTGACTCCATGTATTACTGAGATATGCAGGAAGATTTCATATGAGAGAGCAAATAGCTTGAGGAAAAGGAATGCTATGAAGATTTTGGTGCTTTCTGGTGTTTTTCATTTTTTACCTCCCTCTGTTCATGGCTTGCACTACCTACTAACTGCACTTCATGGATTTATTTTATGCCCAATGATCCCTGCTGAGAATATTTTAAAATTTTAATTTCGTATCAAGGTCATCTTGAAAAGAATTTTGATGCATTTTGCAAATGGCATTGCTGCTCAAAATCCCTCTAGCATCTGAGATTTAAACCTGATCTGCATCAAGGCCAGTGGATTCTTTTGAGGCAACTTTAAATTTTTGAAGTTAAAAGTGGAAAGGAAAGAAGGATGAAGCTGGCAGCGCTGCATGGTGGCTCTGTCACCAGTGCGTGCAGTGGTGGGACCCAGCCTCATGGTACAAATTCTCCTTTCGCAGCCACAGCTGGCAGGGGGCTCCTCTGGGAGTGTGTTTGGGGCTAAGGACAGGGCAGGGGATGTTGATAGTGTGCAGACCTTGTTGGAGGTCTCCATCACCAAAAGCCTCTGCTGGCCCACCTACCTGGCCTCACAGAACTTCTTCATCAGCCTGGGCCGGTCCTGGGCCCGCCGGTGCCGGAACCACGTCTCCACCTTTTTGATTGGCAGGTCACTTTGCTTGGCCAGTGAAATCAGGTCTCCCTAGAAAACAGAGCAGGGAAGCAGGACTTAGCCTTCCTAAGGCTGTCTGTCCCCATGTGGGTGGAAAAGCTATGTTCCTGCAGGCTGCCTCTGCCGCTGTGGGTCCACATTTCCCTGAAGAACACCTTACCTTTCTTTGGAAAAAAATCATATCAGCTCTATTTGCATTTGTGAACTCCCAAATAATTTTGGCCATTTTAAAATTCCAATTCAGCCATATCTAAGTGCAGGTTCAGATGTAAGCACTCTCCCAGGTTAAATTTTGCCAGCTGTATACAATAGGATTCAATATCTTTGCTATAAAAGTCTAAATACATTTTTTTCCACCTCTGATGCAATTTTGACTGGTAATTATCAGCTACAGATGGCAAACTTGAAGATAAAAGAAGTTTTAGCTTGTGATGATAAAGAAACAAGCACATAGTTCACTCAGTAATGTCAGAAAAAACATCCAGCTGTTTGAGTGACTGCACATTCACAGGCCAAAAAGCATAATTTCCAACATGCTCTATTTTATGTATGAATTCCAAATAAAACTACCTAGCCTTAAGATTTATAAACTGTGGTTAAAATAAATGTAAAGATGAGCTCATGAGCATTTTTTAATTAATCTGACAAAGCTTCATACAAAATTAAATAAAAAATTATTTTTAAAATCCATGCATCAGTGTGAGTCATGATTCGGGCCCAAGGAGTTGTGGTGAATGCAGTCAAATCCAGTTGGCGGCCGGTCACGAGCGGTGTTCCCCAGGGCTCAGTTTTGGGGCCAGTTCTGTTCAATATCTTTATCAATGATCTGGACGAGGGGATCGAGTGCACCCTCAGTCAGTTTGCAGACGACACCAAGTTGGGCAGGAGTGTTGATCTGCTCGAGGGT